TTCAAAATTCTGTCTCTTTCAAAATTTTATCTCATGTTGACCAATACAATGGAATTTGTTTCTTTATGAGGAACTCTATACTGATTTTAACTGGCTGGCGGAGAGGCACATAAACTTAATTTAATCGTCATAAAATTTTACTCTCATCAAGAATACATAACTTATGGGGTCCCCAACGAATATTTTGAGTTGTAAAAAGTAAAAAAGCAGTAAGTTCGGCCGGGACGAACTTTGAATACCCTCAACCATTTGGAACAAATTGGGAAATTTTCAAAAAAATAAATGAAATCCGTTAAAAATTCTGTTAAAATCTAAAAAATACCAAATGTATCCGTTAAATTTGGTTCTATAGGAAGACGTGAACCTGCATAGGCAACTTTTGTCATAAGCCATTAAAATATTCAAATACGATATTTAAAAAAAAAAAAAAAACTGGTGAATAATGTAGCTAAAATCATCAAAATACCGAATATAGGAGGTACCGCTACATCGGGGCTATACGAAGACCCGGACCTGCAGAGACAATTTTCTGTCATAGTCTTGAGTACTTATTAGGAACTTGAAATACGAAATTTCAAACAATTTCAGTAAATATTGAAAAAAAATCGTCGAAATAACGAATGTTTTGGCATAGACTGTAGTCTCCATTGCGAACCCTTAATACCAAATTTAAACCAACACATTTGGTGAATGATTGCGCTAAAATCATCAAAATATCGAATATCTGGGTGGGTGGGTGGTGCGTCGTATGTGGGCTGTACGATATCGTGGACCCATATAGACATTTCTCTTCCGGGGGGTAAAGTGCTTGAAAAAAAAAACTTCTAGTATGGATTTTTAGACAATTCTATTGAAAAATGCAGCTCAAATGATCATAATACCGAATTTAGGGAAATACTGTAGAGGATAAAGAACTCAAAAGGATCACCTTTTATGGATTTCAGACAATTTCATAAAAAAATTGGCTACAATCATCAAAACACGGAATATCGGAGGATACCGCTGTATTGGGGTTATACGATATCGTGGACCGATGTAGCCAATCTTCGAATTTGACCTGCCTGCAGATAAAAGTCTGATCTGTGTAAAATTTTAGCTTCCTATCCTTATTCGTTTTGACTCTAGCGTGATTACAACAGACGGACAGGGCTAAATCGTCTTAGAATTCAACATAAAGTTTAATACTTTTGAAAGGTTAAAGTTATAAGGTAACAAAATTTGGGAAAAATTAAGAAAATATTACCCTGTCTTTTGATAATTTTACTCAGCAGATTTGGATGAAATACCCATTTTCTGTCGTAGCTTATATGCTAATTTTTATATATTTGCTATTTTCCCATTCCTAAACTTTCTGCCCAGTATATGAATGTACTATAAAGAAATTATTATGGCAAAGGAACAATAACCGAGGATGTTTCAATCTCAAAAAGTCTTTATGTATTGACATTTTGCTGAGATAATTATTGATGAACCTATTAAAACACCCAAACATATATTTGTATTTTCTCATATTTCATTGTTCAGAGATATATGAGTGGTACTAATTGTTCAGCTTGCGGTAGTGATTCATAGCCATGGGGACAACGAAAAGATGGAAAACACTTTCAATTACTCATCACAAACAAAAAGCAAACAAAACTGAAAATTGTGTCTCCCAAACGACGAGGAAAATGTTTGAAGATCATAAAAATCGTCAGCAGTATCATCATCATCATCATGATTATGGTGTGGATATTCGTTGTAACGCTAGCCACACTCAGTACAGATGTTGTTCTTGTGTGCTTGTTGTTGTCACCTAAACTCTGTTGCCGTGACATGATGCCACACTTTAATTTCGATCATCTCTCGACAACAAAGAACAACATTTGTGGAAAATTGAAAACGAAAACGTACACTTGTGGAGGCGTTTCAAGTGAAACGGACAAGAAAATCATCATCATCACCGCCGCATCCAAATGGACCAGCTATGAAACACTTCCTTTATGTTATTTTCTGTGTGTGTTGTTTTTGTGTGTTTTCCATTGGCTCTTTAGGTGTATGCGTGTATGTGTGTGCGTGATTTTTATTTTCTTAGCTGTTTTTCTTTTTATTTTCTTGTTTCAATTTGATTTGCTTTTAGTAGTGTCAAACTTTTCTTTTATAAATAGACATTGTCGCATGGTTATAAACAACAATCGTCGATGTTTCAGATACACGCACGAAAAATAATCAACTAACTCATAAAATTGAAGAAAGGGAAATGAGAAATAAAAACATAACACACCGCCGATTCGATTCGAGCAAACAAAAAAAAAACTTTTTTTTGAGATTTCACCCCTTTATAATGGCTGAACTTTATTTTCTTGAGTATTTAATACAAAAGCCGAATAACGCAGGCAGTGCTTAAAAGGGAGGCAATGATATTGGAGTGATGAAAACTTACAGTTTTAAAAATTGGGACAGATTCCATAATGAGTGTTATAAAAAAAAATAAAATTTTTGGGAATAAGCCAAAAAAAAGACGTTGCAAAAGAATTAACAAAAAAAATTATTAAATATATCTAAAAATCTCATTATACCCTACAGCACATAGTGGAAAGGGTTTTATGTCTTAGTGAATTTGTTTGTAACATGAAGAAGAAAGCGAGATAGAGCCATAGTTACTTTTAGGGATCTTCATAGAATCACTTTCTGAATCGATTTATCCAGTCTGTCAGTCCGTCTGATCCGTTCGCCTGTCCGTGTATTTTTGTGAACAAAATGTCAGACGCATTTATGATCCGATTCCTATTAAAATTGGTGAGAATCAGTTCAAATGACCTGAATTTTGGCACATCCGACCGAACTTTTTCTAGAAGCAAGTACATGAAATTTGGTGAAAATCGGTTAAGATGTAGCTATAGCTCACACATATATATTTCAACCGATTTGGTGTTAAAGTCCCTCACATACGTAATATGCACTCCACAACAATGATATTTGATACCGAGCATCACATACTGCTCGAAAATACCTCTGCCAAATTTTATTGAGATTGGATCAGATTAGGATATAGTACTCATATATATCTTTATCAGATATCAAATTTATTGTACACCAAACGACCAATATCAGTCCAAATGACCTGAATTTTGTCACATCCGACCGAACTTAGTCTAGTAGCAAGTACATCAAATTTGGTAAAAATCCGTTCGGATATCGCTATAGCTCCCATATATATATGTATTTCATGCGATCGTGAAAGTCCCTCACATGCGCAAAATGCACACAATAAGAGTATTTAATACCAGTCATCAGACACATCTCGAAAATACCTCTGCCAAACTTTTTTTTCAGACTGCTGTCATTTCTAAGCTACTCGTCCGACAGCTGTTAAAATTATTTCAGTGACAGCTCATTATATTGTTTACAAGCGTACAAAAGCATTTTGGTGAGAATTTTCCAGAAAATAAATTGTTCGTGATGGAATTCAAGCGTGATAGTCTGATTTCCTTATATTTGGCTGTAAAACCACAAGTGGCTATCGTTAGAGCACTCCAGAATTTAAATGTAAATAAAAAAAGCCATTGAAATTCTAAAAAGTGCAAGAAATTACACCGCAACAGACAAAAATAGACTCAAAATAGCTAAAGAGTTTCTTCGATCTGCCGAATTTGGTTTTCTCCGACGAGAATACATTTGTTGTCCAGCAGTTTTTAAACAAACAAAATGATTGTGTTTACTTTCCAAAGAGGTCAGCTTAAAATGTGGACCTTCGGTTGGCCACCAGAACTCAAGCGCCGGCCTTGGTGATAGTGTGGGTCGCCATAACAGCCGATGGTCGCTCTCCGCTCGTATTAATCGACCGTGGAGGGTGTATTAAAGCCATGGGCACGCAAACATTTTGGCCGCAGACCTTGGACATTCCAACAGGACTCAGCACCATCACACTCAGCACGCGCAACCCAAGAATAGTTACAAAATGAGGCTCCTTGCTTCATTTCCAGTGCACAATGGCCACCGGATACCAATCAGTTAGGCTATTGTGTCTGAAGTATTTTGGAAAGCAAGGTTGACACTAAAAAATATCAAAGTGTAGATCACCTAAAGCAAGCGCTTCGCCGCAGAGCAACATTCGGACAGCGTATGACGGTTTCATTGGCCGTTTGAAGGTAATTATTTATGCCAAAGGTGACCAGTTCGAACAAATCTAAAATTTGATGCCATTTCCGACATTTTTGATTTCATTCAATAAAATTATAAAAGGGTAAAAACAAGTAAAAATGTATTGGTCGGTTTTGCCGACAGATGTATACCTTCAGCCCTCTTCACCCTCTATGGAGTGGGTTTTGAAAGAATGGGTCAATATTGTTCATTTCGTATCGGACCTAAATAAATTTGATATAAATATTATAATAGTGGAATTCGGTCGGATGTGCCAAAAATCAGGTTTGGACTGATATTGGACATTTGGTGCAGAATTAACCCGAAATCGGTTGAAGATATATGTATGGAACTGTGTCTAAATTTGAACCGATTTTTACCAATTTCAATCGGGTTCGTCCAAATACTGTTTGGATAATTTCATCATTTTCATTTCAAATTTCATGGATTTCAACATCTCTTCTCTACTCATATTCATATTTTGGTGTAGTCTCCTTGACCTTAATTTCAAACCTGCAAACCGAACCGATCTTGTGCTAAACTTTGCAATATTGAATATAAAGCTAAATAAAATTAACATTTAATAAATATTGAACTGCAAAGTCAACATTTTTGAAAATTTTGCTCTACTGACCTAAAGTAATAACTTTAATAATGGGCTATTACACCCAAATACAATAGGACCGATACAGAATGTCACGCTATATATTTTTTTATTTCAAAAAATGATTTACAACATTTTTTGTCACACCAAAACATTTACCCTTTATTGAAACAAAAAATAAATACTGTTCATTATTTTGTCACATAAGTTTTTCTCCAGTTTTCATCTTCGATGAATGATTTCCATTTTATTCCACATTTTCGAATGTGTGAAAATGTTCTGTGTGTGTGCCCACCGACCGACTGTGTGGGCCGTATTTGCTCAAAGGGATCCTTAGCATGCTGGGTCTTGGCGAAATGTTCCCCAGTCTTTTTTCTACTTTCGTCCCGTGCGGTTGTGTACTAAGGTAAAAATACTAGCCGAAGCAAAAAATAAACGTCGAGTATGCTGATCTCGAAATCTATGCTCTATATTGGGGCTCGGCGGAGACATGTGACAGTGAAAGATTAAAAGAGTGATGATGCACAGATATATTTAGATTGTCTCCATTAAAGTTGAACGAAAATAGATACCAAAAAGTTGAAAAAGTGATATTCTCAAATGAAAAAAAAGATAAAGGAAAATGTGATTGTCTAAAATTGAGAAAAAGTGATAAATGAAGTAAAATTATTATGTGAAGTCAAATCATATTATCATAGAATTTGTTAGAGAAAATAAAAATTAAATCGAAAAATATCTATCCAAGTAAAAATATATGATATTAAGTGTTAATATCGCTTTTACTTTCTTCTAGCCAAACGGAAATGTTGAAATATTTGTAAAAGTAAATGCAAATAAAGGAGTAAAGAAATCTGTGCGATAACAAATCGAGGTTGCCTTTAAAATGGCACGACTTTTAATATTTTTAGCGGCTGCAGCTCTATTTGGAGGTTAGTATCTGTCGGCAGATTCCAATCATAATATCTCTCTGGAGGATATAAGTGATAAACAAGTAAAAAACATTAAGTTCGGCCGGGCCAAACTTTTAATACCCTCCACCTTAGGGTAAAAGAAACATTAGAAGAAATGTGACAAAAACCATAAAATTACCGAATATCGGGAGGTACCGTTATATGGGGGCTATACCAAAACGTGGACCTATAATTACAATGTTTCGCTACACGAATTAGGACCCATTATGACCCACAAATACCAATTTTTAGACAAATCAATGAAAAAATGTGGCAAAAACCATAAAAATACCGAATATCGGGATGTACCGTTATTTGGGGGCTATATAAAATCATGGACCCATGCATGCAATGTTTCGCCACCGGAGCTGGAACCCATTATGACCCACAAATACCAATTTTTAGACAAATCCGTGAAAAAATGTGGCAAAAAAACTAAAATACCGAATATCGGGAGGTACCTTTATATGGGGGCTATACAACAACGTGGACCTATACATGCAATGTTTTGCCACACGCTCAGGGACCCGTTATGACCTAAAAATACCAATTTCCAGACAAATCCGTGAAAAAATGTGGCATAAATCATCAAAATACCGAATATCGGGAGGTACCGTTATATGGGGACTATACCAGAACGTGGACCGATATTTCTCATTTTCAATACCAACCATCCTAGACACAATGCAAATAGCTCTGCTAAATTTTGGCGCTCTACGTCAAATAATGTGGGCTGTATCGTGATTTCAACAGACAGACGGACAGACAGACAGACGGACATCGTTAAATCGACTTAGAATTTTATGCTGATTATGAATATATATACTTTATGGGGTCTAAGACGAATATTTAAGGATGTTACAAACGGAATGACAAAGTTAATATACCCTCCTTTCCAAGGTGGAGGGTATAAAAATATGTGGAATAAGTAGTATATAAAACGCCAGTAGATGAAAACAGATATAGCAAATTATATTTTAGTTTAAATACTTATTAGAATGCTGTTGTGTTTTAATATTTTTTTATAACCTCCACCATAGTATGGTGAAAAAATATAAAATTTTAGACCCCGCAAAGTATACATATTCTTGATCAGTACGAAATTTCAAAATAAAAAAAATCATGGAATCTTTTAATCCATAAAAAAGACTACTGATGATATAAACATTCTTATGTCTTTGTACATTTGTTTGTAACAGGGAGGTGGAAGCGAGATAGACCCATAGTTACTTTTTGGGAACTACATAGAATCACATTTTGAATCGATCTACGCATGTCAGTTCAGTCCAGGAGTGAATAAAATGTGGATAAAATCGTTTCAGATATAACTATAGCTCTCATATATATGTTTCATCCGATTTGAGGTTTTAAGTCTCTCATATTCGTAATATGCGTTCGACAACGATGATATTTGTTACCAAATGTCAGATATATCCTAGAAATACCTCTGACAAATAGCTCCCATATATATCTTCAATCAATTTCGGGTTAATTGTGTACCAAATGGCCAATATCAGTCCAAATGACCTTAATTTGGCACATCCGACCGAATTTAGTCTAGAAGGAAGTGCATACAATTTGTTGGAAATCAGTTACGATTTGGATGCAGCTCTCATATATTTGTTTCATCCGATTTTGGTGTTTAAGTCCCTCACATTCGTAATATACATTCGACAACAAGAGCTCGGAAATACCTTTGCCAAATTTTATCGAGATCGGCTAAGACTTGGATATAGCTCACATATATATCCTTCCGATTTCAGGTTTATTGTGCAAATAATTGCTAATATCAGCCCAAATGGCGGGAATTCCGGCGTATGTTTCCATTTTGTGGAACTCGGCTCTTATATATATATTTCTTTTATAATACTTCTCGAAGTGATATTATGCACTCTATAGAAATGCTATATGCTGTAAAAGTAAAAAAATGTCTCCGTCAGATTTAGTGAAAATCGATTCAGAATTGCATATGCATCCCATATATTATTTCTCTCTGAAACCAAATTATAACTGCTCTAAAGCCAAATGTTGATAGATGGTATGATCTACTTCAAATAAATTCATTTGTTACGGGAACTCTACTAAATATGCATAGTGGTGTAGGGCATCATATAGTCGGCCACGGCCGACTTTTGACATTTCCTTACTTGTTTTTTTATAATTCTGAGTTGTCATGTTAACAGACGGCCGCACTTTTGAGTTGAAGGTAATTCGTTACAAGTTCTGTTTAGTAGATTTATTCTTGTTGTAATATGCGCTTTTAAACCGCTGTTTGTATATCCTTAGTTTTATGACGACATGAAATGCTCTCAATTTTTCATTTTCAAATGAACACATCACTCATTAAAAGCAAAGGGAGTCATTAATGTCAAGGCAGTATTGGCCAATTGTCCGGATGTCACCCGTCAAAAAGCTCCATATCTCTCATAACTCTCATGAAAACGTCAAAATTTCTGTCAGTGTAAGACCCTTTAAAATTAATAATATAATGAATTTTATAGCAAAATAACACAAAAATAAAACAAACGCCATAATTTTGCCATTTTTTTCATTTAATGTTATAGGAAAATGTCGGAAATAGCATCAAATTTTTGAATAAGTTTAGATTTGTTCGAATTGGTCACATTTGGCACGAATTATGGCCTTCAAACGGCCAATGAAACCGTCACACGCTGCCCGAATGTTGCTCTGTGGTATTTTGGCCCATTCCCGGCGAAGCGCTTGCTTGAGGTGATCGACACTTTGGTATTTTTTAGTGTCAACCTTGCTTTCCAAAATACTCCAGACACAATAGTCCAACGGATTGGTATTCGTAGATTTTGGTGGCCATTGTGCGTTGGAAATGAAGCGAGGAACCTCATTTTGTAACCATTCTTGGGCGATTCAGAGTTGGATATAGTTCCTAAAGTGGGACTACTTTAAAGCCATGATACGCATTAAACTAAGGTTCATAGTTGGACTGATCTACTTCACATAAATGCCCAATATAAACTTATTTGTTACGGGAGCTCTACTAAATGTGCATAGTGGTGTAGGGTATGATACATTCGGGCCCGCACGACAGTATACTTAAAAACGAAAAAAAAAGAAAAAACTTTCATATCATTCTTTTAGAACCTGAAATTTTAATTAAAAAAAAATGTTATCAAAGTGAACAAATTATGTATGTTGAGTACTAAATAGCTTAACACGAATTGTTGAAACGTAAAGCGTAAAATTCTAATTCGTTTTAACAGTGCCCTTTTGTATATATGTGCAAACTAAGATAGATCCCATATTATGTGACGTAGAACGAAATTTGGCAAATTACGATGGTTGTTATATCGGTCCAAGTTTTACCATAAACCCCAAATATCGGTGCCTTGAGATATTCAGATTATTCTAGTTACCTTCTTTCAATGAAATTGTTTTCAACTTTGTTTGTAATGGGTTCTACTTCGCGTGGCATGATATTGCCTATATATACAAGTTTACCTATAGCCCTCAGTATTTGGACGATTTTAGCCGCATTTTACGTGAGGTTTCTTTATAATTTGGTATTTGAAGTTCGTAATCAGAACATTGCCCACATTGATCTGCGGTTTCCAGAAGCTCCCACATAACGGTACCGCCCGATATTCGGCATTTTTATGATTTTAGTCACTTTTTCTATGAAATTGTTTCAAATTCGATTATATGGAATATAAAATATGTATAATGTATTTATAAATGTTTTTTCTATTCCATGCTCAATGATATTAAAGCTCGCCCCGCCGAACTTGAAATTTGTTATTTTAGAAAAAAATTGTTCTTTATTTATTAGGTCTATTTGATTAGAAAACGTAGGAATAATAAGTATAAAAGCTGTTTTTTAATTTGAATACCCTCCACAATTTTGAATGAACTTAAACAATTAAAAAAATCCGTCGCAAAACACAGTTTAATTAAAAAGGTGTATATGCTGTAATTCCCATTACGATCTTCCATTGCTGAATTTGAAACGAAAAATAATATTAGGAGTTATATGGGGGATAAACGAAAACGTGGACCGATACAGGCAAGATACGCATGTGTATCTCAATTCGTTCAAAAGATAGTGTGATTAAAACAGAAGAACAAACAAACAGACGGACGTCTCTAAGGTTCAGCTCCGACACACTAAACCTTTGTGTACTCTGCTTCTGTGCTTGCTACTGTCATTTAAGTAAGATTTGATATATAATTCCCTACACCACTATGCGTATTTAGTTGAGCTTCCGTAACAAAAACAAGTAAAAAAGATGTAAGTTCGGCCGAGCCGAACTTTTAATACCCTCCAGCATTTGGAACGAATAAGGAAATTTTCAAAAGAATAAAATCCATTGAAAATTCTGTTAAAATCTTAAAAATACCGAATATCGGGGGGTGTAGATATATGAGGGATATATGATATTGTGAGCCTATATAGACAATTCTATTTCAGAGTTAAATTACTTACAAAGAACTCCATGTGTAGAATTTCAGAAAATTCCATTGAAAATGTTGGCTAAAATCGTAAAAATACCGACGATTGCAAGGTTCCGTTATATGGGGGCTATACGATATCGTGGATCTATATGAACAATTCTCTTCTGGGGGATAACGTACTCACACATAACTCCTTGTGTGAATTTTCAGACAATTCCGTTAAAAAATGTGGCTAAAATCATCAAAATACCGAATATGGGGGGTACCGTTATATAGGACTGTACGATGTCGTGAACCTATATAGATAATTCTCTTTCAGGGGATAAAGTACTCACAAGAAGCTCCTTGTGTGGATTTTCAGACAATTCCATTCACAAATTTGGCTAAAATCATCAAAATGCCGCATATCGGGGGTACCGTTATATGGGGGCTATACGATATCACGGACCAATACAGTCCATCTTCGAACTTGACCTGCCTGCAGACAAAATACAGATCTGTTCAAAATTTTAGCTTCCCATCCTAATTCGTTTTGACTGTAGCGTGATTACAACAGACGGACGGACAGGGCTAAATCGTCTTAGAATTTTACGCTGATCAAGAATATATATATTTTGTTGGGTCTAAATATGGTGAAGAAAATCATACCAACTATGAACCTTATTTAAATACGTATCATGGTTTTAGATTGTCATCGATTGTCAACAAATTTGACGGATGCTTTTGTACCTCTAGTACCAAATAACATTGGTGTATAGTGCATGATACGACTTCGATAAGAATTATATAAAAACAAGTAAAAAAGCAGTAAGTTCGGCCGGGCTGAACTTTGAATACCCTCCACCATTTGGAACGAATTAGAAAATTTTCAAAAAATAAAATCCATTAAAAATTCTGTTAAAATATCTAATGCCGATATATGGGGGGATATACGATATTGAGGACCCACATAGACAATTACCTTTCAGGGGTTAAAGTGCTCACAAAGAACTCCTTTTGTGGATTTTCAGACAATACCATAGGAAAATATGGCTAAAATCATCAAAATACCGAATATCGGAGGTACCGTTATATTGGGGGATATACGATATGTTAACCTATATAGAGAATTCTCTGTCAGGGGGTAAAGTGCTCACAAAGAACCTCTTGTGTACAATTTCAGACAATTCAGTTGAAAAATGTAACTAAAATCATCAAAATACCGAATATCGGAGGGGGCTATACCGAATATATTATATGGGGGCTATACGATATCGTGGACCTATATAGATAATTTTTTTTCAAAGGATAAAGTACTCATAAGAAACTTCTTGTGTGGGTTTTTAGACCTTTCCATAAGAAAATGTGGCTAAAATCATCAAAAATACCGAATATCGGGGGGTACCGTTATATGGGGGATATACGATATCGTGGACTTATATAGATAATTCTCTTCCCAGGTATGAAGTACCCACAAGGTACTCCTTGTGTGGATTTTCAGACAATTCTGTGGAAAAATGTGGCTAAAATCATCAAAATACCGAAAATCGGAGGGTATCGTTATATGGGGGCTATACGATATCGTGGACCTACATAGATAATTCTCTTCGGAGGTATAAAGTACCCACTAGGGACTCCATGTTTGGAATTTCCGACAATTCCATTGAAAAATGTGGCTAAACATAATCAAAATCGGGGTGTATACGGGACGGACAGGGCTAAATCGTCTTAGAATTTTACGCTGATCAAGAATATATATACTTTGTTGGGTCTAAAATGATTATTTCGATAAGTTACAAATGGAATGACGAACTTCATATATCATACATACTATGTATGGTGGAGGGTATAAAAATACATATCTATTGGAGCCATAGGTATACCGGACCGAGTTTCACCAAATGAAAAAATTCGGTTGAATAGACAATTTGGGTTGACAGTACATATATGGAGGACAATATCCGTAAAATCGGTCGAAGGTATATACAAATCTGGACGGTTCTCGATAAAATTTGGCAGAGGTATTTTCGAGCTTCATCTGATGACCGGTGTCAATATCCTTGTTGTGAAATGCATATTACGCATGTGAGGGACTTTAACACCAAATCGGATGAAACATATATATGCTAGAGCTATAGCTACATCTGAACCGATTTCACCAACATTTGAATTTTTTGCTTCTAGATTGAATTCGGTCAGATGTGCCAAAATTCAGGTCATTTTGACTGATATTCTCCATTTGGTGCACAAATAACCCGAAATCGGTTGAAGATATGTATGGGAGCTATATCTAAATGTGATCGGATCTCGATCAAATTTGACAGAGGTATTTTCGAGCTGCATCTGATGTTCGGCATCAAATATTATTGTTGTGAAATGAAATGCATAACAACAAATCGGATGAAACATCTATATGGGAGCTATGGCTATATCTGAATCGATTTTCCAAACCAAACCAACTTTTATGTACTTGCTTCTAGACTGAATTCGGTCGGATGTGCAACAATTCACTCCATTTGGGCTGATATTAGCCATTTGGGGCACAATAAACCTGAAATCGGATAAAGGTATATATGGGAGCTATATCTAAGTGTGCACAGATTCTCACCAATTTCAATAGGGTTCGTCCTTGAGCCAAACAAATATTGTTTACCAAAAAATTAAACATTTAAGAAAAGTGAGGGCCCCGGGCCACACCCTTTTCTATGCCCTTGTTGGAAAGATTTGAGCGGTTGAAAGTTATAATGTACCACCTCAATAACATTTGTATACCCTACAACACTATGTGTTGGGGGTATTATAAGTTTGATTGGACCAAAAATTATGTAACACCTCGAAATATTGAAAATGGAGGTTGGGTAAGGGTCAGAATAGAACCCTATTTTTTTGGAGATGATCGCATAATATTTAGTGGTTGGAATGGACCAAAAACTGAAAAATTTAATGATTTTGCAGTTGCTCTACAGGTCACAATTATAGACCAATCGACGCCGAATTTAGCACGGGGCGGGGCAGAAGCCTGCTCTCTTGGCCTAAAAGAATAAAATATAAGAAATTCGCATAAAGATACCAATAATGGTGTTAGTATAGATTTTGTAGTATTTTGTGACATTTTTATACCCTCCACCATACTATGGAGGGTATATTAACTTTGTCATTCCGTTTGTAACTCCTCGAAATACTTATGTCAGACACAACAAAGTATATATATTCTTGATCAGCGTAAAATTCTAAGTCGATTTAGCGATGTCCGTCTGTCTGTCTGTTGTAATCACGCTATCTTTCGAACGAATTGAGATATAAGGCTAAAATTTTGCACACAGGTTTATTTTTACAGTTGGCAGGTTAAGTTCGTAAATGGGCCATGTAGGTCCACGTCTTCGTATAGCCCCCATATAACGGTACCTGCCGATATTCGGTATTTCGATGATTTTAGCGACATTATTCGCCGGAAAAGTTTCAAATTTAGTATTTGAGGTTCGAAATAGATACTACAGCCTAAGACAGAAAATTGTCTGTGCAGGTCCACGTCTTCGTATAGCCCCCATATAACTCTACCTCCCGATATTTGGTGTTTTGATGATTTTAGCGACATTATTAATCGGAATTGTTCAAAATTTGGTATTTGAAGTTCGCAATGGATACTACAGCCTAAGACTGAAAATTGTCTGTTCGGGTCCACGTCTTCGTATAGCCCCCATATAACGGTACCTCCCTATATTCGGTATTTTGGTGATTTTAGCGTCTTTATTCACCAAAATTTTTTTTAAATTACGCATTTAGAGTTCGTAATGGAAACTCCAGTCTGTGACAGAAAATTGTCTATGCAGGTCCAGGTCTTCGTATAGGCCCCATATACCAGTACCTCCCTATATTCGGTATTTTGACGAGTTTAGTTACAATACTCACCGAAGTTGTTTGAAATGTCGTATTTGAAGTTCGTAATGGATGCTACTGAATATGACAAAAAATTGTCTACGCAGGTTTAGGTCTTCGCACAGCTCCGATATAACGGTACCTCCCTATATTCTATACTTTGATGATTTTAGCTACATTATTCGCGTTTATTTCAAGTTCCGAATTTGAATTTGGTATTGACCCATGACAAATAATGCCTGAGTGGGTCCACGTCGTATAGGCACCAATATAACGACAATATTCGGTATTTTTAAAATTTTACCAAAATGTTTTCTGGATTTTATTTCCAAATTCGTTCCAAATGGTGGAGGGTATTCAAAGTTCGGCCCGGCCAAACTTACTGCTTATTAACTTGTTTTAAATGTTTTCATATTTTTTATCGCATGCGATTTTTTCAATTTGATTTTTAATATTGAAGTGTATATTTTGTAATATTTTTTCACCTTACAACACAGGTTGGGAGTTATTATATGCAGATTTCAATTATCGTCCGATCCTCACGAACACTTTCACATTTTTAGACCCAGAAGTGCTAGACCTATTGTTTTCAAAGATATTCATAATATATTTAGGGGTTGAAATGGACCAACAAATAAAAATGTTCCTGGTTTTTCAGCCGTTAAAAAGGTCACGAATAGAAACCTAAGGACACGAAATCTCGCATAAAATTAGAGTTTAGGACATCGGGAGGAATGGACCACTACTTTTTTGTTTAAAAAAATACCAACATTACTTACAGGCGATATCCGAAATACACAAAAGGCCAACTTCTGGCTTTTTGATGCTGATTTCGTTGACGAATATAGCCAAATATCTTAGACAAGCAAATCATATAGATGAGTCTAAATTTGAAGATACAGAGGGGCTTCTTACTTTTGGAGATGATCGCAAAATATTTAGGGGTTCAAATGAACCAAAACCAGAAAAAAATTTCCTGATCACACAATTGAAGCCAATCGACACGCCTGAGAAGAGAATAAAGGACAGGGGAGAATTGCATTATATGGCTAGCAGCTTTTGAATATTTAAACTTTAAAAATAGCATTCATGTTTTGATAACAATATCATTTTGATACAAACGAAATACTTATTTAATTTTTTGTCAAAAATATTTGCGTTTATCCATCCACCAACCGCTTAACACATATTGATGGAAGTCTTCTGAAAACAATAACAAAAAGTGTGTCGAAACATCAGCATTGGATATGTCTGGTATGGATTTTTTATTGGCCATAAATAACATATGACATTCACATAGGATCAAAAAGATACCAAAAGTGAGGGGGTGGAGAGGAAAAAACAAAATCTAAACTATTTTTATTAAAATCGAAAAACACACACACATATTTCGAAACAGCAAGAAACTAATTTTGTTTTCTTTCACTTTTTCAGTTGGCGCTGCAGTTCACGAAGACTGCGAAGTTCCACCACCCACTAAATTTGCCACAATTCAAATCAAAAGCGAAGAAGATGTCATTCGGGCGTTTTACACCTGTGAAGGTGGCTACGAACTACAGGGACCCAATGAGCTGGTGTGTGACATAGATACGGATGAGTGGAACACTGATCCGCCACAATGTGTTCAAGTAGCAGTCTCGAATGAGGTAGAAGATAGTGAAACGGAGACGGCACAACAAAAACAACAGCAAAAACAAGCCATACCAGAAGATCGCATGGTGTCTCCAGCTTTGGCCTCAACACTTGACATGAGTTGTGTCCAAGCCAAAGTAAAGGCACCTGAAATTCGTCATGGCATTGTACAGAAATACGAACGTCGTCGCAAGGGAGATCGGGTGTTTTTGGCTGCCCTGTATGCCTGTAATGATAATTTCGATTTTGAAGATCCCGACATGACTACTCTGTACTGTAGCAATCGTGCTTGGGTGGGTGATTTACCCACTTGTATACCATTGTCCGAATACGATGATGAAGAGGGTAGGTTATGATAGATATGGTGGGGGAAAGAATTAAAATATTTTAATTTTTAATTTTATTTAGGACTCTATGAATATGAAGAGGGCGACGAAGAAGATGACGAAGATGTTGCCGAAGAGGAAGACGATGATGAGGAACAACGTCACCACAATTATGTACCACCACCTCCCCCACCTACACGTCCAACTGATCCCCCAACATCTTACAATGAAAATGTTGAACATTTAAGCAATGAAATTACTCCTTTAAATACCCAAAATCCAGCAGAAGAAGATCATCAGCAGCACCACAACGAAGAGGAAGAAGAAGAGAGAACGCATGTTGTCGAACAAGAAGTTACCAATTCCGTTACAGCAGAAGCAACACAGGATCCTTATGAGCCACGGGTTTTAGATGAAAATTGTGGCAGCGATAATGGTGGCTGTGACCAAAAGTGTCAACGTGTCCTGTTTCCCGGAGAGAATGAACCACGAATTCAGTGTGCCTGTGCCGAGGGTTTCAGTTTGGATCCATACGATTATTCGACATGCCATGGTGAGTTGAAGGAAGAAATGAACAATTATAAAAACAATCCAAAGATAATTTTTATATCCTCAGTCATAAGGCTACAGAAGGTATATATCGTTTGATACGGCCAAAACGTGCCTCAACGAAATAATGGTCTTAGGCCCTAGGTCTCTTTAGACCAAATCCGTTTCAGGATATTTGGAGTCGACCTAGAGGTGTCTATCCGTCTGATGTCTGACTGGAATAATTATAACTTCTATAAAATGAGAGATAAGAATCCAACTGTCTTCAAATTTCACAAATTCCAACATTTCTATTAAACAAGTAAAAAAGCTGTAATTTCGGCCGGGCCGAACTTTGAATACCCTCCACCACTTGGAACGAATTCGGCAGTTTTCAAAAAAATGAAATCCCTTAAAAATTCTGGAAAATCTTAAAAATACCGACGTAGACCTGAATAGATAACTTTTGTCACAAGACATTACAAAATTCAAAAGCTATTGCAATATTAAAAAAATCGGATGAATGAATTTTGAATTGGAGGTACAAGACAAGACAAGACGTCTAATATATTATGTCAAACAGATGCAATTATGCTTTAACGACCCTCATGAGAAGAAAATAATAACCTTTTGCCCACCCTATCATCCTCTAGATATTAACGAATGTGAACTGCAAAATGGTGGTTGTGAAGAAATTTGTGAAAATTTGCCTGGATCTTTTAAATGTTCCTGCAAACAGGGTCTTCAAATTGATACTCGTAACGGCAAAACCTGTATTGGTAGGTTTCTGTTTTCTGTGATTTTCACATTTTTCCCACTTGCAGCACCAGCTTATCAATGATTTTTCTTTCTTTGCTCTCTTGTCGGACCTTGTGCAACATTAACACCATGCAACACCACAAACTGTCTTCATTATCACCAATGTCATCGTCATCGTCATCATCATCATTACCGCCACTACCATCGCGAACATTAATTGTTTCGGACTACGGTTTAAAATCCTGTCGTCACATCATCACCCCAACCACCATCATCCTCTCCATCAATTAGACATTGACGAATGCAATTTGCGTAATGGTCACGGTCCCTGCCAGGACACTTGCCACAATCTTTGGCCGGGTTATCGCTGCTCATGCGACAATTTGCCCGGCACTCACTTGTCATCGGATAATCACAGCTGTGTCGATGCCGGTGAATGTGAAATCGGTAATGGCGGTTGTTCACACATCTGCTTGTCTTCGCTAGGCCGGATATTCTGTCTTTGCCCGCCAGGATATCGTCTGACCGGAAATGACAAAACATGCGAAGGTTTGTAAAATGCAATTTAATTCAATAGCAGATGGCTGGGAGAGGGGGAAGAAATAATTGCAATAAATGCCTTTGGAAGTTCTTAAGCAGTTAAATAGACAAATAGCGGGAATTTCCCGGAATTAATTAAATAATGTTGCCATTAGCGGTGAGGGGGATTTTATTATACCCTACAACACTATGTGTTGGGGGTGTTATAAGTTTGATTGGGCCAAAAATTATGTAACACCTCGAAATATTGATTTCCCACATAGGAAAGTATATATGGATCTTCCTATCTCGCCGAGCTGAGTCGATCTAGCTATGTATGTCCGTCTGTCCGTCTGTCCATGTTAATTTCTAACCACTCTACAGGTCGCAATTATGGCCCGATCTTCACGAAATTTAGAATGGAGGTGGGGTTAAGGTCAGAATAGAACCCTATTTCTTTTGGAGATGATCGCATAATGTTTAGGGGTCGAAATGGACCAAAAACTGAAAAATTTCTTGATTTTGCAGTTGCTCTACAGGTCGCAATTATGGACCAATCAAAGCGGAAATTAGCATGGGGCTAGAGGTTCGGGCTGGGCAGAACCTTCCAATTTTTATGGTCATCGGGTAATATTTAGTGGGTGAAAAAGACTATAAATTTGTGTTAAATAAAAGTCAAATTTCCATTAAACCGCGAATATTTTTAGTGCCGGCGAAATCATAAATAGACGAACAGGTCAATTCTGACCGTTACGTAGATGCCGATAGTAAATATATCGGATATATATAGCGAAATATATACAATGTGTATATACAAAGGAAAGGAAAGGAATGTTAGATGGAATGCTTATATCTCAAGAATGGCTGGACCGATTTTGACAAATTTTGCCAATTCAGTACGCGCTCTTGACATAAAAGTAAAAATCTAAAAAAAATCGCATAAAAATTAGTCAAAAATGATGTTAATATAGATTTTGTAGTATTTTGTGACATATTTTAATTTTTTCATATTTTTTATCGCATGCGATTTTTTCAATTTGACTTATAATATTAAGGTATACATTTTGTAATATTTTTCCACTTTACAACACAGATTTGGGATATTATATACAGATTGCAATTATCGTCCGATCCTCACAAAAAGGGTAGGGTTAGGCTCAGAAGGGCTAGGCCTATTGTTTTCAAAGATGGCCGCAATATATTTAGGGGTTAAAATGGACCAACAACTAAAATGTTCCTGATTTTGCAGCCGTTATAAAGGTCACAAATAGAAACTAATGGACGCGAAATCTCGCATGAAGTTAGAGTTTAGGACAGCGAGTAGAATGAACCACTACTTTTGTCTGAAAAATACCAACATTACTTACAGGCGATAGCCGAAATACACAAAATGCGAACTTCTGCCTTTTTTTGGCTGATTTCGTTGACGAATATAGCCAAATATCCTAGACAAGCAAATCATATAGATGAGTATAAATTTAGAAATACAGAGGGACCTCTTGCTTTTGGAGATGATCGCACAATATTCAAAATTTCCTGATCACACAATTAAAGCCAATCGACACTCTTGAGTAGAAAGTTAGGGACAGGGAAGAAGTCTAGCATTATGTATGGCCATTGGATTATATTTAACTGTAAAATGGACCACTACAACTAACACCACGACGAAGTTCGTAAATATTGCTTAAATGTCCCTGGTCAAAATGCTAGTAATATCTGGGCAGTGCTCCGTGACATAATTTCAAAAGCAAAATCTTCCAAAATGGATTTGGGCATAAGGGGGCTTCTAACATATTGTAGTGTTATAGGGTATCACATGGTCGGCCCCGCACGACTATAGCCTTTGCTTACTTGTTTGAAGTTGTACTTCTGAGAGAATATTGAATGTGAAACATTTATATAAATAAAAGAGTAGTGAATTAACTGACCTGCTGAGAATCAACGTCCAGACGATAAGGCTGAAGCTAAAATGTTAAAATTTTGGGCGAGGGTAATTCTTGGTGAAGGGCTATGTTGTGTGTTCTGAAAATTCGACGAAAAGGGTATGAAAAGTACTAAAAATGTAACAGAATGGACTAGAAATCTAAAATGTGGAATGAGAGTCACTGATGGAGTACAGGATATATGTACCAAAGGGTTTTTGGAAATACAAACTTTAAGGTTACGAAAAGTCCTAAAATGGTACTAAACTTCTAAAATGTAACTATTTTGTATTATGCGAACGGATAGAGTTTACAACTTGAAATTTGGTATGAGAATCAATTTTGGAAGGTAAGTTTGATGTGGATTGGACGAAGCTGGTTTAGGGTGAACTTGTGAAGATGGAATTTTCAAAATTTGTATTGGAGCCTCTGTTGGTGGTAGATTTGTAATAAAGAGGTGGTTTTGGAAATTTTTTCTTCAAGTGCACGAATATTACTATATTTGTGTACAATTTGGTATTGGGTAAACAATAAGTGCTTGTAGTTGGCAATTTTTAAAAAGGATTGCTGTTCATGAGTAACCTTGACATATGGAAGTGGTTTTGTAAATGTGTACTATAATTGTACGAAAATTTCTGATTGGTACTATACTTGGTATTGGCTGAAGGGTTAGGGGAAAAGTTCTGACATTTGATATTTAGATTACTAATGGTATCTGTGTTTGAGATTTGGCGGTGGTTTGGAAATGCGTTCTACATTTGTACGAAAAGTACTAAATGGTACTAAATTTAATAGTGGGTGAAGGGATGAGGCTGGAATTCTAAAATTTAATGTTAAGGTCTCTGTTGGTATCTGGAATTGAGTCAACTCTAGTGGGATTCGACGAAGATACAGGGTGAGATAAAAAAACTGCAACAAAGTCTAACGCCATAATTTTTACTTTTTTTTAATTTTATTGAATGAAAGCAAAAAATGTCGGAAATATCATCAAATTTCAGAATAAGTTTAGATTTGTTCGAATTTGTCACCTTTGGTACGAATTCTTCAAACGGCCATGACCATCAGCTGACCTCTTTGGCAAGTAAACACGATCATTTGGTTGTTTACAAGCTACTGGACAACGAATGTTTTCTCATCGGAGATAACCAAATTCGACAGTTCATCACTTTCGACCAAGCGGATCAACTCTTTAGGTCTTTCTAGTCTATTTTCTTTCGATGCGATGTAAGTTCTTGCACTTTTTGGAATTTCTATGGCTTTACCTCGAGCTCATTTTCCAATATTAGCCGAATGGAATACTACGATATGTTCAGCTCACGAGCCATTTTTCGGCTACTGCGGCGTGGGTTTCGATCAAATCGTTTCTTTACTTTTCGAACCATTTCTGTTTTCTTCCATGTTGCTGTTTTCTTCCTGCCGATGTTGCTGAGCTGTCACTGGAATAATTTTAACAGCTGTCGAACGAGTGGCTTAGAAATGACAGCAGTCTGAAGTTGGTTGCAAGTTTTTCATCTCACCCTGTATAGCTGTTATATGTTAGTTTTAACCTAAGTCTAATTTAAATTATTCTAAGGCCAATATGAGCATTTATTTGCTACAGGTTACCCTACTAAATATTCATATCGGTGTTGGGTATCATAAAGTCGGCACCGATCAACTTGTGCTTCCTTTCTGCTTCGAAGTTATAGATTGAAATGGGATCCGTGACTGAAGGCATCCTGAGATCATGAGTCGAATGATCACCCATAGCACAGACAGGCAGACGAAGGGACAGATATGTATTAATCGACTCAGAATGTGCTTTTATGCAGATCATCAAAAGGAACTATGGGTCTATCCCGTTTCTTTTTCCACATTTCAAATGGATATAGAAAGACATATTACCGTGAGCACAGTGTGATGTAGGGTATAAAAATCTGCCATATTCAAAAAGTCTTTTTTGATCCTCCACCATACATTATATGGAGCGAATATTCGAATATTCATAACTCATAGAAATATAAAAATTATTCCTGTCCGCCTGTTGTATATCTCTCTAACTCTTCGTGGATATGAAAATATTGATCGACATTAATCATACACATTGAAATTGTTGGATTCCCGTTCTTTCAGATATCAACGAATGTGAGTTACCCGAGGTAGCCCAAGAATGCCCTCATGGTTGTGAAAATACAGATGGCTCATACCGTTGTTTGACCCAAGAGGTAACCCAGGAAAAGGAAGATATAGCTCCAAATACCGATGATGTTGAAGATCCTCCCAAAAATGAGGTGTCTAGCGAATCGCCACCAGTGGTGCAACAATGTGAACCTGGTTTTCGGTTGGAACATGACCAGTGTGTGGATATTGACGAATGTGCTGAGGGAATCAGTGGTTGTCAGATATGCATCAACACGGAGGGTAGCTATGAGTGCACCTGTCCATCGGGCTATGATTTGGCGGAAGATGAAAAGACTTGCGTCGATATTGATGAGTGTGCCATTGTCTCGGAAGATGAAGAATATGCAGCTGCTTATAGGGTTTGTTCCCATGGCTGTCACAACACTGATGGATCTTTTGTGTGCTTCTGTCCGCCGCTGTATCATTTGAGTGAAGATGGAAGAACCTGTGACGTCGACACCTGTGCTGATTTAGAAAATCCCGCTCTAAACAAATCACGCTGTTCCTATGAGTGTACGGATTTAGCAACTGGTGGCTTCCAGTGCCACTGTCCTGAGGGTTATGCTTTGGCTGATACCTACAATTGTGTACAAAGTCAAACCGCCTGTGAGCTGAACAGTGGTGTTTGTGCTCCTGGTTCCTGCCAAGAAGCAGAAAATGAATTTGGTTTCCAATGTATTTGTCCAGTGGGCTATCGTGAGGAGAACAATCGTTGTGTGGATGTTGATGAGTGTGCGGATGGCAGCCATGAGTGTTCCCATCAATGCGTAAACACTGAGGGAAATTATATCTGCAAGTGCCCCCAGGGATATATTTTGCCCTACGCCACTGCCCACAGCTGTGAAGATGTTAATGAATGCGAACATCAACCTGAAATATGTGGAGAGCTGAAATGTCAGAATTTCCCCGGTTCCTTTACCTGTCTTTGCGAGGATGGTTCTGAACCAAATGCTGAGGGCATTTGCGCCTCAATGGTTGCAAATGTTGATCCTTGTGCTGAGAGTCGATGCTCGCATGAGTGTGTCGCCGAGGGTGATACCTATCGTTGTGGTTGCCCTGCTGGCTGGGATTTGGATGAGTCCCAGCTGACTTGTATCCAATCGGAGGCATGTGATGCGAATAAAAATGGTTGCGATCACATTTGCAATGCCGATGGTTCCTGTTCGTGCCAGGATGGTTTCGCGTTGGGCGCCAATGGTAAAACCTGCTTGGACATCGATGAGTGTCAAGTGAACAATGGTGGTTGCCACCATTTGTGTATCAACGTTGAAGGTGGGTTCACATGTTCATGTCACAAGGGCTTCGAGTTCCTTGATGGTCCCTTGAGGGATTATTGCTTCGACATCGATGAGTGTGCTTTGGGCCTGCACAACTGTGCCCTCGACATGACCTGTGAAAATCTTAATGGCTCATTCACCTGTCTCTGTCCCAAGGGTTATGCCTTGGGCATGTCCATCATCCATCCATTAGCATCCAATGAAGTCATGGCGGAGAACTCATTTGATCATTTGTCCCATTCATCATCTACATCATCGCCATTAGATTCATTAGCTTCCCAGACATGCTTAGACATCGATGAGTGTTCCATTGCCAATGGAGGTTGTAGTCATTTTTGCATGAATCTTCCTGGCTATTATGAGTGTTCATGTCCTCCGGGTCACTTGCTATCGTCGGCTGACAATAAGACCTGTACGCTGGTCGATTTGTGTTTGCGAGAGAATGGGGGTTGTTCCCATGCCTGCCACACCCGCAATGGGCGGGTGGAATGTTCCTGTCCCGAGGGCTTTCATTTGGAGGTGAATGGCCGCACCTGTCTGGACAACGACGAATGTTTCCTTTCGAATGGCGGTTGCGAACACATTTGTGAAAATAACATCGGCAGCTATTCATGTTCATGTCGCCAAGGTTTCACCCTCTCATCCAATGGTCATGCTTGCTTGGACATCGATGAGTGCATCGATGGTGTAGCGAATTGTAGTTTCATTTGTATAAATCTTTTAGGTTCCTATGCCTGTTCGTGTGAGGCCGGCTTCCAGTTGGCCGATGATGAAAAGACCTGCCTGGACATTGATGAGTGTGCCTTGGGTAAACATGACTGCTCGCACGACTGCATCAATGTTGATGGAGGCTACAAATGCTCCTGTCCCCAGGGCTATTACTTGGGTGAGAAGCAATCGGTGTGCGTAGACTTGAACGAGTGCAATGCCGACGATCATGGTTGCAGCCACGATTGCTACAACACGATGGGTTCTTATTTGTGTGCTTGTCCGGATGGTTTCGTTTTGAGCAGCGACGAGAAGACCTGCATCAATTCCATGTGCTTTGAAAACAACGGCGGATGTTCGCACCAATGTGATCCGGATCAGGGCTGTTCCTGTCCACCGGGTATGATTTTGGGTTTGGATGGTAAGACGTGTGAAGATGTCGATGAATGTACGGCCGACAATGGCGGTTGTGCCTTCAAGTGTGTCAACCTGCCGGGTTCGTATGAATGTGTGTGCCCCGATGGTTCCAAGCCAGCCAACCCCTTCGATGCCTGTCCCATCACCTGTCCAGCCGGCTTCACCTTTAGCCGTGACGATCCCAGCAAGTGTGAGGATATCGATGAGTGCAGCCTGCCGGGGGTGTGTCAATATCAGTGCCGCAATACCAACGGCTCCTACGAGTGCTTGTGTCCCAAGGGATATCGCTTGGAAAATGGACGTGACTGCCAAGACATTGATGAATGTGCCGAGAACAATGGAGGCTGCTTGGGTGGCGAATGCATCAACCACAATGGTGGCCATGAGTGTCGCTGTCCATTGGGCCATCGTTTGGCTGCAGATCGCAAGACATGTGAAGTGGTACAGGAATTGCGTGACCAATGTCATCCACTGACAGCTCCCGCCAATGGTGCCATACACTGCACCAAATATCGCCACAAGAAGAGACGTTTCTACAGCACCCGCTGCAAGGTTTGGTGTAATCCTGGTTTCGAGTTGCAAGGACCCACACATCGTCACTGCAATGCCACCGGCCAATGGGATCAACATGACAATTTGTGTTTGCGTAAGTACCAAATGACAATCCGAACCACTCTGTCCCCCGCCGGGATTTGATTGCTCCATTATTTCACTTGATTTCCTTGTCATTCAATTCCAGCCAAAACATGTCCTCCCCTGGCAACACCTCTAAGCGGTGTCATTACACCGCCAGCCTGTCTATTTGGCCAAATCAGTGTGGGTGAGCAGTGCCTCCTGAAATGTAATGCTGGCCATGTGCCAGTTGGAGCATCAGTGGCTGTCTGCACATCGCAGCTGCAATGGTCGTATAATGGCACATTTGACTGTTGGCCAATGCAAACGGAGCCACGTCTGGGTGTCTCAAATGGTTTCACACCTTTGGCGCTGCCAAATGCACCACCACCTCTACCACCCACCTTTACCACGGCGACGACCACAACACTGCACAACACACAGTCAACCTTCGGTGGACGTCCTTTGCCTGGTTTCGATTTTAAGGTAACACCTTTCGGCGGTGGCAGCACTGTTGGTAGCGGTGGGGTTGGTTTACAACGACCCTACATTAAGTGTCCTCGCAATACCACCGTCTATCTGGCACCCTCGGAACGTACGACTCATGTTATTCTACAGAAACCCATAACCAATTTGGATTATCGTTACATCGAATCATCGCCCGCATGGACTAGGGATTTGCAAGCCCATCTGGGACCGGGTACCTATGTGGTAGTGTTCCGTGGTCATGATCCTATTAGCGGCAAGAAAGCACGCTGTAAGACGGTGATTCATGTCAAACATGCCGATGGACCTGTTGTCGAATATTGTACACCATCGTTTGAAGTCTCTCTGGGCGAGAATCAAGTCTTCCGTTCCGTGGTGTGGGAAGAACCAAGATTCAGCAGCAAATATGGGCCCATCAAGAAGTTGTATAAATCCAGGGTAAGTTTAGTATTTGCGTTGTCGATAGGACTGACATTCTTAATTTGTTTACATTTTTTAAAACACTACCAAATGTCCGGTAATGTTTGTTTATTTGGGTAGAACGATGGTAATGTTTTCGAGGAGGCAAAGCAGGGAATACCTGGGTTTTGGAAAGAGCCACCAATCCCCATAAGTTTCCTTGCTTTTTGTCTGGGATATTCTCCCAAGAAGTTATTTTAAAAAAACTCCTATGACAACAAACATTTTTACCCAAGTGACGAAAATTTTTTTGGAAAATCTCCTAAATGTTACAACCGCACTTATAAACACTAATAAACATACGTTGCATCTATAAAAACAACAATAATGGAATTAAACCTAACTATTTTGCAAAAAAAAACTTCTAAATTATTTTAGTTTACCACATAATACATTCCAAGTTAGTTTGTCAACGTTTAGGTCGTTCTATTAAAATATCGTTGATCATGATGTTGGTGGTTCCTGTATGTAAATCTTCCAAATCTGGCATAGTTGCATCATAGAGCTTAAAACCTTTTTTATATAAAAATACGAAATAACGAATATTTTATTTACAATATTTAACTACTGAGTTTCCTAAATTTACGACATTTTCGACCCATTTATGATAAGTTGGATCAAAATTTTCAAAATTTTTGGCAGCCCATCTATGCATTGCACAACGAACTCACATTCAATATTTCTGTCCAAAACTATTTAAACGTCTCCATATGCAAACCCTAGAAACGAACAGTGATCTCAATATCATTCCGAATTTCAGTTATATCATCCAAAATAAAAATTTAGTAACATTTAGTACGCACATCCGCAATAATCTAAATTTTTCAATGCTAGACAAAAACAGTGATCCAAAATTAGCACCATTTAGTACTTTTCGAATAATTACAGTACGCATTTTCAAAACCACCAACGGATGGATTTCAACACCCGACACCAAAAGAGAACTCAATATCAAATTCTGGATTCCAGCTCTATAACTTCATCCAATTCAGTACCGAATTTAGTACCACATTGTACTTTTCGAACTATCACTTCCAAAATCACCTCCATTTCTTAACCACTGACTCCAACAGAATTTCAGTACTATAGCTTCACCAAATACCATATTTTGTAGTATTTTGTACTTTTCGTACAATTAAAGTCCACATTTCAAAAACCACCTCAATTTCTTTACCACTGACTGCAAAAGTGACATCTATATCAAATTTCAGGATTTTAGCAATATTCCTTCATCAAATACCAAATTTAGTACTATTTAGTACTTTACATGCAATTATAGTACACATTTCCAAAACCACTGCCATGTCTCAATTCCAGAGACCAACAGACACTTCAATATCAAATTTGAGTATTTCAGCCCTATACCTTCACCCAATACCAAATTTAGTACCATTTAGTACTTTTCGTACAAAGATAGCAAGCATTTCCAAATCACCATCAAATCTCAAACACAGATACCACCCATCAGTAATTTAAATGTAAAATTTCAGAATTTCATCTCCATCCCTTTACCCAATACCAAATATAGTACCATTTAGTACTTTTCGTACAATTAGAGTATAATTTTCAGAAATCTCCACCATGTGTCAAGGCAACACATGAACATCGACTCTAATTCCAAATTTAAGATTTCAAGCACAATCTGTTCACCCAACAGCAAATTCTGCCAAATAGAGTACTATTTAGTACACATAAGTACAAATATCCATGACAACCTGCATCATACAATCCAATCGAAATCTTATTTCTCAATTTCAGGGTTCCAGCCCTATCGGTTCACCAAAATCCAAATTATACCATTTAGTGCGCATAAATAGGAATTATACCAAATTACATACACATAAATACACATAAATAGGAATTTCCAAAGCTTCCTACAGACCCCAATCCTATACTGACACAGAAATCCCCATTCCAAATTTCATGGATTCCACCTCAAATGGTTCGCCTAAATTCAAACTGTGCCAAGTTTAGTGCCATGTAGTACATATAAGTACGAATTTCCAAAACGTCCTATACAATATCGTATAGCCCCCATATAACGGTACCCCCCGATATTCGGTATTTTGATTATTTTAGTCACATATTTCAATGAACTTGTCTGAAATGTTCCACAAGGATTTCTTTGTGAGTAATTTACCACCTGAAAGTGAATTGTCTATATAGGTCCAGGATATCGTATATACCCCATACTACCGAATATCGGGGGGTAATATTCGGTATTTTGATGATTTTAGCCATATATTTTCTACAGAATTGTCTGAAAACCCACAACAGGAGTTACTTCTGAATACTACACCCCCTGGAGGGGCTTTGTCTCTATGGGTTCACGATATGGTATATATCTCCCCCATATAGCGGTATCTATCGATATTCGGTATTTTAATGATTTTAGCCACATTTTTAAATATAATTGTCTAAAAATCCACACAAGAAGTTCCTTCGGAGTACTTTACCTCCTGAAAGAGAATCGTCTATATAGATCCAAGGTATGGTATATCCCCCCATTAGACGGTACCTCCCTATATTCGGTATGTTGATGGTTATAGCCAAAATTTTCTATAGAATTGTCGGAAAATCCACACAAGGAGTTCCTTTTGAGTAGTTCCTTCTTTATGGGTCCACGATATCGTATATCCCCCATATAATGGTACCTCCAGATGATTTTATCGATATTTTTGACAGGAATTTTTTCAAATTTTGTAGTTAAAGTTTGAAGCTTGTATGATGTTGTATATGCAGGTCCACGTCTTCGTATAGCCCACATATAACGGTACCTCCCTTTATTCCGTATTTGATGGTATTAACAACATTATTCACCGGAATTGTTTCAAATTTAATAATACTAACCATTATTTAACGAAACTGTTTTAAATTTTGTATAACCCCATTTAACGGTTTTCATTTATGCGGGACTTTTCGACGGATTTTTTTTTTTTTTTTGAAAATTTTCAAGATCCTTCAAAATGGTGGAGGGTATTAAAAGTTTGGCCCGTCCGAACTTAGCTTACTTTTTACTTGTTTTCTTTCGTTTTATACTTTCAATAAATCGCAACTGCGATTTAACCGTAGAAAAGTTTTACTCAATTAGGGTATGACTTACTCAATTGCATTAATACCTTTCTTCATTTACCAAAATTTTTATTTTTATTTTTTTATATATATTTTTAGCTTCCCGGCGAGCTATTTGGTGTGGGCGTTCACAGTGTCTACTATGAGGCGACCAATGAAGATGGACTCACAGCCAAATGTGAATTTAAGATTCGTGTGAACTGTAAGTATTAATGACACTATTATGAATTTTCAATATTTTTTCGAAACTCAATATCCATTACTATTCCAGCTGCTGGTGTTTCATCGCAAAGTCACTTGACCTCGAATTCCATTGAATATGGCGGTCATCGGAACAAAGTCCCCAAATTACCCAATTTCCATAGTGTTCCACGTCCCAGTCCCATATTTACATCACCAGTCCTGCAACCACCACCACCACCACCACCACACCTAACGGCTGGTCCCAGACCCAATGCTATGAAGGCGCCACTGTTGGCCGGTCACGAGTCATTTATCATTTGTCCCGGCCGTGATCCCGTCAAAGTGACCAGCTCTCAATCTGTAAGTTATTATTGGCCTCAATGGCTTATACGCATCCATTACAAGCAAACGCATGAGCAACGCTATCCTCATTGAGATGTTTCAATCAAGCATTCCGTCATTAAGTGGATTGATTATGGGAGACTTATTTGCCAGTATCTTTTTTCTCGCTTCAGCCGCTTTTCCGCTCCATAAGCGTTAACCGAAAATTATTCCCCATCATAACTTTTTTGAATTCCAGGTTGAGCTACCACCAAATTGCATTTTGAAAAATGTTCGCATCAATCCCTTCCGTCAGTTTATGTCACAACGTGTCATGCCAAGGCTTTGGGCATCCCATGGTCTGTTTTAAGTGAATGTGTTCAACTACATATATACATAAATATGTCCTCACACTCACACACGTGCAGTTTTAATATTTAAGATTTTTACGATTCTTTTACATTCATTTTGTTGTTTTGTAATTTCCATGTAAGAATATTTGCATTTTGTAAATTTTAGATTTTAATAAAGGAATTAACTTTTGTAATATTTAATTAAATAAAGCAAGCTTTTATATTGGATATATAATTGAACGATAATAAAATTGGCAATTCCAGATTTCTTAGAAATTATAATTTTGTAGTTTCTGCTCTTTTATAAATAATATAATGATATAATAAAATTGGCAATTCGAGACTTCTTAAAAATTATAATTTTGTAGTTTCTGCTCTCTTTATACCAGGGGTAGGCAGAGAAACTCAAAAATTTTTTTGTGATTGTATGTGTTTTGAAACAGGGATAGGCATAGAATTTCAAAATTACTTTGTGATTGTATGTGTTCTCTATACACAGTAAGAAATACTTTGTTGCTTTTTTATTTATATACCGGTTTTAGTATTTTTTGAAGAGTTTTAGAGACGTGGATTTGTAGAGAATATTTGTTGAAGAGCCTTCGAGTCGTGGATTTTTAAAAATAAATGTTTTTTGAAGAGTCTTCAAGACCTTGATTTTTAAAAGAATATTTTTTGAAGAGCCTACAAGACGAGGATTTTTAAAGAATATTTTTTAAAGACCCTACATAACACAGATTTTGAAAGAATATTTCTGGAAGAGAATTTTTTTTTTTTTTGAATTTAGAAGAAACTTCGAAAATTTCTCATTCGCAGAAATTCATATTTTGATAAAAAAAAAAACTCGCTGTTGTATTTAAAAAATTTTATGAACTATAATTTATCTTGACCAGGGGTCATTGACCTTTTCTCTCTCTCCCTCTTCCTCTCCCTCTCCTTCTTTCTCTCCATCTCCCTCTTTCTCTCTCTCTCTCTCTGATTCTTTTCCCAGGTGACCCCAGGTCAAGAGGTCATTGACCCCATGTCAAGGACGCCTGAGGTCATCGCCCCATTACAAGGGGTCATTGGTCCCTTCTATACGCAAAAATTCAGGAATTTCTATGAGATACCAAGGTTTACCTTTTCTCGTGGTCAAATTCCTCGGTTTCTTATACTTCCTTTAAAGGCATCCGTTTTGAAAATTGTAGCTTTTTTAAGATAATATTTTTTAATGTGAATAAGTAAAGGGTAATAGAGGAAGAGGGAGAGAGGGAGTGGGAGAGCCAGAGAAAAGACCCCGGTCAAGAGAGAAAGAGAGGAGAGGGAGATAGAAAAAGAGGGTGGGAAAGAGAGAAAAGGAGAGATAAAAAGGGAGGGGAGAGAGATAGGAAGAGGGATAGAGGTAGAGAGAGGAAGACCGTGATCGAGGGATGGAGAGAGAGAGGGAGAGAGATGAAGAGGGAAGAGGGAGGGATAGAGAGGTAGAGCGAGAGAAAATACCCCAGGTCAAGAGAGAGGAGAGGGAGTGGGAGAGAAAAGAAAAGAGGGAGAGATAAAAGAAATGAGAGAGAGAAAGGGAGAGGTAAAAAGGGAAGGAGAGAGAGATAGGAAGAGGGATGGAGGTAGAGAGTGGAAGACCGCGATCGAGGGATTGAGAGAGAGAGAGGAAGTGAGAGAGAAAGAGACGTAGAGTGAGGAAGAGGAAGGGAGAGAAAGAGAGAGGAAGAGAGAGAGGAAGAGAGAGGAAGAGAAAAGGTCAATGACCCCAGGTAAAGGGGTGTTTCGGGTTAATTGTTAACCAAATAGTCAATATCATTCCAAGTAACCTAAATTTGGAATATCCGACCAAATTTTGCCTAGAAGCTAGTACATTAAATTTGGTCAAAATCGGTTCAGATGTAGCTATAGCTCCCATACATATGATTCATCTGATTTGGTGTTTAAGTTCCTCACATTCGCAATATGCACTCCACAACAAAGATATTTGGTACCAGATATGCCTGTGCCAGAAACACCTGTGCCAAATTTTCGCAAGATCGGTTGAGATTTGCATATAGGTCCCATCCGACTTCGGGTTAATTCTGCACCAAATAGACAATATCAGTCCAGATGACCTGAATTTTGGCACATCCGACCGAACTTAGTCTAGAAGCAAGTACATAACATTTTGTGAAAATCGATTTAGATATAGCATTGCACAACAATGATATTTGGTGCCAAATATCTTATAACGCTTATAAATATTTTTGCCAATTTTTATCGAAAGGGCTTAGATTTGGATACAGTTTTCATATATATCCTTAATCCGATTTCAGGTTTATTGTGCAAATAATGGCTAATATTTTGTGCAACTCGGCTCCTATATATATTTTTTAATATAATCCTCTTCTAAGTGAAATCATGCACTCTATAGCAAACTATAACTGCTCTAAAGTCAAACGTTGATATGTGGTATAATCTACTTGAAATAAATTATTTTGTTACGGGAGCTCTAGTAAATATGCACAATGGTGTAGGGTATCATATAGTCGATCCCGCCCGACTTTTGACTTTTTCTTTTTTTTTTTTTTGCTTCCAGCGGCTGATAATAAATTAACACATGTTACGAACACAAATCGTATCTTAAACAAAATATGATATAAGGTGAGTATAGTTTTGGGCGCATTCTTAAATATCCCTTAAGGTATGAAGCCAATTCAATCATATGGTGTTTATTTTAGAAAACTCACCTTTCGCCGGTATAAGTCACCTCAAGAGAGCAAATATAAACATTTTAAAATACAGTGTAATCCATTTAAATGTTACGAATCCACTACACATATTTAGTAGAGCTCCCGTAATAAAAGGATTTATTTGAAGTAGATCATACCCCCAATTAACATTTTGCTTTAGAGCAGTTATAGTTTGGTTTCAGAGGGAACTAATGTATGGGAGGCATATCCAATTCTGAATCGATCTTCACTAAATTTGACGGAGACATTTCAATATTTTATACCAAATAACATTGCTATAGCGTGCATGAGAGATTATATTAAAAATATATATATCGGATGTCCTCAAAATGGAAACGTATGTCTCAAAATTAATTTGGGCTGGTATTAGCCATTATTTGCACAATGAAACTGAAATCGGATTAAGCATATTTAGGACCTATATTCAAAGCCTTAGTCGATCTCGATAAAATTTGGTAAAGGTATTTCCGAACTCTATAAGATATCTGGTACAAAATATGCATATTATGGGGTGCATATTACGAATGTGTGGGACTTAAACATCAAATCGGATGAAACATATTATGGGAGCTATAGCTATATCTGAAGCGATTTTCACTAAATTTGATGTACTAGTTTCAAATATCCAAATCAAAACTGATCTTGACACAAATTGGCAGATGTATTTCTGGGCTGTATCTGATATCTTATGCCAAACATTATTCTTGTGGGGTGCATATTACGAATGCGAGGAACTTAAACACCAAATCGGATGTAACATATATATAGCTATATCTGAACCGATTTTCCCTAAATTTGATGTTCTTGCTCCTAGACTGAATTCGGTTGGATGTGCTAGAATTCAAGTAATTTGGACTTGTATTGGGTATTTGACAGCTATATCTAAATCTGATCGGATTATCACAAATTTCAATAGGGTTCGTCCTTGGACCAAACAAATACTGTTTGGGCAATTTCATCTCAATCGGATAATAAATGTGACCTGCATTTTGTTTACAAGAATACATAGACGGACGGACTGACATGTATAAATCGACTCAGAAGGTGATTCTATGAAGATCCTTAAAAGAAACTATGGGTCTATCTCGCTTCTTTCTCCATGTTACAAACAAATGTACAAAGACAGAATACCCTGTGGTGTAGGGTATAACAAAATATTCGAATAACTGACAGCATTTTACAGATTTTTGACATTGTCTGCTTATTTCTCTTTGCCCTCTATTTTCTCCCAAAAAGTGTATTATTTCAACAATCAGTATGTTATGTATGCATATTTCCGAAACATCAGTTTTTATGCCCTACAACACTATGTGTTGGGGGTATTATAAGTTTGATAGGGCCAAAAAATTATGTAACACCACGAAATATTGGTTTCCAACATAGGAAAGTATATATGGATCTTCATATCTCGCCGAGCTGAGTCGATCTAGCTATGTATGTCCGTCTGTCCATATTAATTTGTAATCACTATACAGATCGCAATTATGGCCCAATCTTCACGAAATGTAGAATGGAGGAGGGCTAGGATCAGAATAGAACTCTATTTCTTTTGAAGATTATCGCATAATATTTAGGGCTTGAATGGACCAAATATTGAAAAATTTTCGGATTTTGCAGCTGCTCTATAGGTCGCAATTATAGACCTATCAAAGCGGAAGTTAGCATGGGGCTAGAGCTTAGGGCTGGGCAGAAACCTTCCAATTTTGATGTTCATCGGGTAATATTTAGTGGGTGAAATAGGCCACAATATTTGTGTTAAATAAAAGTCAAATTTGCCATTAAACCGCGAATATTTTTAATCCCGGCGAAATCACAAATAGACGAAGAGGACAATTCTGACCGTTACGTAGATGACCGTTACGTAGATGCCGATAGTAAATATATCGGTTACATATAGCGAAATATATTCTATGTGTATATACAAAGGAAGGGAATGTTAGTTAGAATGCTTATATCTCAAGAATGGCTGGAGCGATTTTGACAAATTTTGTCAATTCAGAATGCTCTCCTGACATAAAGGAATAAAATCGCATAAAAGGGTATCACTAATGATGTTAATATAGATTTTGTAGTATTTTGTGATATTTTTTTATTTTTTCATATTTTTTATTGCATGCGATTTTTGCAATTTGACTTACAATATTTTGTAATATTATTTCACCTTACAACACAGGTTGGGGATATTATATAAGTACTGCAAATATCGTCCGATCCTCACGAAAATGTTCACAAGGGTAGGGTTGGGCTCAGAAGGGATAGGCCTATTGTAAACTAAAAATGTTCCTGATTTTGCAGCCGTTATAAAGGTCACAAATAGAAACCAAAGGAAATCTTGCATAAAGTTAGAGTTTAGGACAGCGGGTACAATAGTCCACTAATTTTGTGCGAAAAAAATACCATTTTTCCACTTTACCGAAACGCTGAAAATAACTTACAGGCGAAATCCAAAATACACAAAAGGCGAACTTCTGGCTTTTTTATGCCGATTTCGTTGACGAATATAGCCAAATATAGTAGACAAGCAAATCATATGGGTGAGTCTA